GGGACCGAGCGCCGGGTCCCCGCGATGCTGCCCCGCGGCTCTGCGGGCGCCGGGGGCCAGCAGGCCCTGGCCGCGGGGTCTGCACCTCCCACTTGTTGCCGGCGCTTTATTTTTCCTTTGCGGACCGAGGCGGGGGTTTGGGGGTAGGAGATGGCCCCCGTTTCCCCCGGGGCAGCTCCCGGCGTCCGCTACCCCGGTTCGCTCGGCTGCGATGGGAGATGGGCGGCGCGCCGCGTGCCCGGGGCTCCCCACGCCGCCTCCCATCCCTTTCCTGCCCCGGCTGCGGGGGCCCCGGGCCGGTGCTGTCCGGGGGCAGAAGCGCTCGGGGCTCGGTGGGCGGATTCACTGCTCCAGGTTGGTGATGGGGCTTGGCAAGGGCGCTGCCCAGTCGCCCTCCCGCTTCACTAGAATTTGGGGCGCTTACCTTAAGCCTTTCGAGCTGACGCTGGAGTTGAGGTTTGGGACAATCTCAGAGTCCAGGCACGCGGTGTATGTATTCCAAGGTCTCCACCCGGCTCTGCCTCAGCCCTGTCGTTTCTGTGCTTGGAAGTCTTGCAAGCGGCCGGGCAGGGAGGGCACCATCTAGGCCAAAACCTTTGGCTCGCGAAAGTTGCGGGCTCTGCATGGGTCACCTGGGACCCGCAGCCTCCTCTTCTTTGCGCTGGAAGCGGAATTGTTCCCCAGCCTCGGATTGGAGGTGGGGTATGAGGAAAGCAGTCAGGACTCCGATGAAGAGGGTTATGAAAGTAACAGTAATAAATACTCCGAGGGTTTTATAAGCCCAACCGGCTTTAGCCTGAGCCCCTTGTTTTCAGAATCCCTTCCTATGTGTTTGCTGAACCAGGATAATTCTTAACAGTCTCCCAGCAGGTCTCAAATAACCTTAACTTACTGATAACCACTTCCAAAACGGTTGCTCATAAATTGTAACCAAAAGGTATAGAAAATGTTCTTTCCGAATAGGCCATCTGCCTACGGCTTAGCTATTTTTAGTGAAATTGGTGTTGTTCAAAAACAAATTTCATAATTTGAAGTTTGTACCACAGCAACACCATTCCTGGAGGTAACCCTAGGGCCCATGTAAATAAGCACTACAAAAGCTGGGCCACTTCATGATTTTTTTCCTTTATTTTACTCGGAGGAAACCGAGGTTATCAGCAAGCAGGGCTGGCTTTGGCAAATGTTTGCTCTTCTTTGCTTTCCAGCACTATCCTACCTGCGTTCCTCAAAACCAGTTACATCAGTAGGCAACATGGTGTTGAAAAGGCCCTTAAGTAGTCACATGGCATGTATCCAAACAGATGAAACCGAACCCAGCAGGAAGCAGCTGAAGGAGGGTCTGGGGCTGTGTTGTGTGGCATGTGCTTTTCAGATAGCTGTACTACAGTATGCATTCTGTTGTCATCTCATTTACTGTCATAAGTCCTCCACGATCTATTCTCAGGGGAACAAGAGAAACATTGCTATTTCCAATTCCAATCTTAAATCATCCATCACCTTTACTCTGGCCCAGTTGTATCTGAATTAGGATGCTGACCTGTATTAAAATAATGAGATTTTTAGCTTCAAAATCCAAATAACCCCCTTCAAATCTAAATGTCTGCCCCTCAAATATGTATTTAAAGATACATTTTAATGTATTGCTAATTGGCTTTTAGAAAAGTGTTATTTCCATTTCACACCCCCCC